ATGATGAGTGGTGTATGATGAGTGGTGTATGATGAGTGGTGTATGATAAGTGGTGTATGATGAGTGGTGTATGATGAGTGGTGTATGATGAGTGCTGTATTGAACAGCTGTTGAATGTCCGTAACACGGAAGTTTTGCACACTAAACTTCCTTTGATAATACACACACAGCTGTCTGCTTGTCTGGGCGTTTGCTGGATGATCTGGGTTGTTGGAGCCTTTGACATGTTTCCCGACATGTTTCCGAATTAGTCCATGAGTGAGCAACAACGATCACGCGCATGCGCTGCATAGGTCTTCATGCTCCGTGTACAGTCTCTGCAAATGAGCGATGATTCGATCGTTGCTCATCGAACAGCCATTCTCTGAGGTCTCAACCACCCGACCATGTGAAGTCGTGAGTGGTGTCGAAGTCAGTGCCAAAAAGCACCTGTGCAACTGCTGCTCAGGATGGATCACTCCTATGGGTGGCCAACTAACAGCCTTGACCTCAGACCTCAACTACACAGTATCAATTCCAGATCAAACATAAACTAATAAAGCACTATCATATGGTGGGGTTAAATGGGAGGACGAAGTGCCAAATAATTCGAACGTGCCAGAGTCCCAACGTCCAGAATTTAAAGTCTGAGGGTGGCTGAGGCCTGCACTGCTGCACCACTCGAAGCCTAACAACACTTTTCTTTCAAGGCATTGACAGTTATCAAATCAGCGACAGAACAAAACACTGAAAGCACCCACAAGAGCTCCTGAACCTTAGATGTGAACAGTCGACAAAAAACCATCTGAAGCCTTCGCAATTCTCAGTAGCATCTCACAATTCTCGCCATCAAGTTCTCTCGTCACCAAGATGCAAACGAAGCCAGGGCGGCGCAAATGGCGACCAGGATCGTCAGAACTTGGAGAAAGGAGAAACGGAACAAAAAGAGAGTCAAAAAATCGAAACTCAAGGGAAAGTTGAAAGGAGCAAAGAAAATTCATAAAACGGCAATCGTCTCTTGTATGATGGCATGGAAGTGAGATGAGAGAGGTATGATGTGAGGGATCTTAGCGATTGTCAAAACATCAATCAAAGGCCTGATGTCGAAAAAACTGAATGTACCTTGGGTATATCCAATTCCCTGTAACAGTGGATGATGATGGTTAGTCAAGCCCTTCCTGAAAATAGTGATCATCGTGTACCGACTGTTTCATGTAATAGGACACCCAGAAAATGTACGACTCAAGTCGTGCCATTGTCAGGCTTCAAACACCCAACCCTCTAGGAGTTTCACCTCCCTTCGCCATGGCCAAGCGGAGGGGCCGCGGCCGGTCAGGACTTGGGCCGGCCTTTGCGTAAAAATTTCCAATCGAATTGAGCGGTTCCAAACGAGTCATGAGGGTGCAACGAATCTGACAATGCTTTTAGGGGTTGATGGGTCGAGCTCTAGGCTAGCTCAAAAATCTCTGAAGATTCATGAAGTCTCAAGCCCCAGGTTTGGAGAGACAAAAGGAAAGTAAAAAGAACTTTCAAAAACAGCCGCAGCCTATCTCAGCTTGATTGAACTCTTTTGTCTCTTTTGAACTCTGCGACTGCGTCAAATGCAGCACCACTTGTCGCGGCCTTGCCAATATGGAACGGGAAAACACATGAAAAAAGGACGCAAAAATAAACAAACTTTGCTTGTGGCTATCCGACCCGAGACTCTGTGATCTTTCAGCTTTATGCTTTACCCGAACTGATACCGGTTGGATATGACGAACCCCCTTCGCAAATAGCCTTGCAATAAACTGATCAGTGAAATGGAACCCTGCCAACTGACTGTAGGCAAAATGTTCCACCGTTGCAAGCAGGGTTGTCTCCGAACGCGATGGAACGCGTGTATGAACATGTTGAGCAAAGCAATTGAAGTGTCATGCAGAAGGCGAAGCAACCAAGGGTTGGAGTCAAGCTTTCTGTGCCTTGCTTGCAGCGCTCATCAAGCGCATCTTCTGCAGAAGATGCCTGAAACTTTCAGGCCCGCTCATGGATTCCCGCTCATGGATTCAGAATGAACATAATAAAGCAAATCGTCAGAGTGAGATTCTAACAACACATTCACCTATGCTGGCTACTGGCTAGCCTTTTAGCAGGCTGCCTCTTGACCGCTAGACCGAGTTCATGGAGATGGCATACCATACCTTGCCTGTCAAACGCTGCAACGGCAATGTTTTTCCTTGGCTTGGAGCACTATCCATAGTATAACATTACTGATTATTCCTGTATTTGTAGAACAAGGTTCATTTTGATCTTGCGGCTGTCCAGGATGGGTTGATCCTCCATGATTTTCAAGCGCAGGCCTTTGAGAGCTTCTTAGTCACCACCTGGAGCCACAAGCATTGCAGTGAAATCGGCTACAAAAGCTGCATCAGTGCGACCGTTTTTATCAGCAATAATATAGTAATTTGATTGCTCCGGCCTTGTAGCCCCACATGCCGGTCTTCTCCCGAACGCTCACGGTCTTTGCCTGCTTCTTAAGACGCTTGTCCAGTTGCCTTTGATGCGGCCGCGGCGTTGCTGTCCAGAAGCAGGAATTGAAAGCAAACAAAGCAGCACTCGCTAAACAAGGGTCATTGGAACCGCCTGAAGTGGCGGTGCGTTTGGACGTACTTCAAGATATTCAGAGACCACCCCAACCAACAACTATTTTGCAAAGCAACACCAACTGTTTTCTACCGCCTGATCTCCCTTACAGTAGGATGCCTTTGCAACTCTCTTGAAGCAGCATCTTGCAGAAGCTCAGGGTTGTCCTCCTCGATCTCTGCCTGCTGCTCTTAAGACAACACTTGATGTGTTTTGACAAAACCCAACATACAATTCAAGGCATTAGCACCGTACACTGTGCACACAAATGATCACAAAGTAATCACCTCAGCCCTCCCAAAGGCAGCCATTCCTTTCACTGGGTTACGCCCTTTCGATAATTGCAGCCTAGCTTTCACACACTCAGCTCAAAAGCAGGAATGAGTAGCAGCCAAAAAACTGTCCTCTTGGAAAGCACTGTCGCGCCTCTTGACAAGCGGAAATGCTAGAATCTAGCTAGAAAGTAACATATCCCATGGCTCATACAATCACAAAAACACAGTCTTACTTGCATAGCATGCAAACCTACCACTGTGACATTCCAAACGCAGTATCTGCTGACCCGTGGCAATGCAAGGGGAGGCTGCATGCGTGTCAAACTTGGGCCCTGTTGGTGTGTGGGTTAAGGCTGCTGGCGGGGGGCATGTGGGTGGGTGTGGTTGGGGTTGGGGACTGGGGCTGGACACAGTTTGATAAAGCTGCGCTATGCTGCGGGGGTGAGCCTTGAGGCAAAATCTATTGGCCGCGATGGGCTCATTTGACATCATTTGATGCCACCTTGTGGTTGTACCGTTTCGGGGCAGAACCTGGTGCAAGGGCACTTTTGACGCCACATGACGCCACCCTAGATTGGCACTGGCACCTGTTGGAAGTGGGTGGAGGTGCTGTGTAATCTGTGTGATGTGTTGGGGGGATGTTAGTTGTCACTGCTGGATGATCGGGCCAGGGACAGGCGTTCGGGGTTGGCGGGACAGTGCAAACTTAGAATGACCCAAGGAGTTTTACTTGTTGACCGCGTCCACAAATCATCTGATGAGAGCTCATCTGAGTCTTGCTCCTGTTTGCTGTTTGGAGACTTACTGTATTTATATAAACGGTTCTTTCAAACAAAAAAGGTGCTGAATTATGTAAGGATGAAGAAACACGAATGGTCAAGAAGGTGTGTGGGTGCAAGGAACCACATCGACCTTGGCTCTTTCTCTTGTTGGGGCGCTGCCAAAAAGATCCTACAGGGTGTCAGCGGAGAAACTAAGTGTGTCCCGGTACCCATCGGGCCCATCGGTGGCCTTAGCCTTCTCTTTGATCTTCAAAGAGTCTTTCCCTGACAGCAACCAATTTGCATGTCTAAAATGGAATCAGTAATATGTTATCATTAATCCCCGCACCAAAGCAATGTTGCACACGCGAAACATGTTGCAGGAATTATCGCAATTACAACTTCCCAGTGACAATGCAGAATAGCATATCAGCATATCTCAAACGCGTCAGAGTCACGAATGTGATACCTAGGCCCAGATTTGACAACAGATCAGGAACCCCTCAAACTTGTAATAATATCTCTACTTAAAATGTCTCCGAATTGATTGTATAGATCGTATACACATGAAATCTGCACCTTCAACATAGAATGTAGAAACCGGGCAAACCACTGTGGAAGAGTTTGCAACACAGAAAGAGGCTGGATCTGTGAAAGTTGCAGCGCGCTCTTTTCCTGACTGAGTCTGCAACTCGCAGGTGGAGGAGAGATCCTGGCCACAATTCACTCTCCATGAGTAACTTCTTTCAATTCAATCTGAGCAACATCTCCTTTCTAGTCTGATGTATGCTGAATACCAGTCTTTATCACTATACTATATACAACAAGTATCTACAAGTCGCATTAAAAACCGGGGGCAAACAGAAACGGCACTAGCGTAAGGTTTAACAACACGCAAAGCTACCCTCATTGGGAACAACACTTACATCGACATGACATGGGAGATAGATGCGTAGGTCTGACCGACGTTAGCATCGTTGCCTCACTTCTGGGGGTGATGACCGGCCGACAAAAGGTCGGTCACAAAATAAGTGTGGCGGGTGCGTAAATTGTTGTTCAACACGTTGCTTGAACCTCAGCTAAGTCGCAATGAAGGCACGCCACAAAGCACGTCATGCTCGATTGTTTGGAAGCACTTCAAGCCTACAAACTTCTAACGTGCATCTGTTTGAAGTCTGCATTCAGCGTCAAGCTCCGCTTTCTTATCGACATTCATGCACACATGTCGAAACAATCTGCACACTGTTCACAACTGGAAAGAATCTCGCCAATCAGCAAGTGGCTGCAAGCGTGGACGGCAGACTGCATGTCGCGGCCTTCTGCCATGTGACAGAACGTCGTGCCCTGCGTTAAAGGTTGTTTGACCCTGAACTATTGGGCTCCAGGTCATTTGGCCATGAGTCATCATAATCTGGGTCTTGCGGCACGTCGTCTGACTCTGTGCCGTCTGGCAAGGAATCGTAACTTTCTGCAAAGCCCTCACGATCGATTAAAATGCTCGTATCCGTTCCCATGATCTCCTCGAGACTGTATCCTGCGCTTCGAATGCTCGCAAAATGCAGCCTTGGCGTCGTAGCAACGTGAAAACACGCGACTCTCTCGTTCAAACAATCATGTCGTCAAGAACAAAAAAAACATATATATATATATAAGATTATAAAAGAAACATGTCACGCCCAGCAGCCAAACCTGCTGAAATATGGAGAGTCCGACTTCTTCCTGTACTTCCTGTAGGAGTTTGATGGTTCTCCAGCGATGAAAATATGCCAGGCATTGTTCATCGTCCACTTCATCACCTTCTGTCCAGTCACCCAGCCATGATGGGTCCACTTCCAAGATCTGAGTGAGGTACATAGGGCATCGGGCTGGATTCACCTCCCAATCTGCATTGTGTAGGAAAATGTCTTTTGCAGGACGTCCTGGAAGTGGTGGCTTCTTGTCGCACATCTCCACTGAAAGGCCGCATAAATAACACCAAGAGGTCTGACAGCGCGGGCAAGACATGTGCGTGCAGGCTTCATCCTTGCGCCCTGCTAGGCCGCAAACTGGACCTGGTCTTGCAAAAGTTCGAGACGACATTGAGAGGGGATGCGCCCCACGAAAACAGAAGTGTGACAGTGTGGAGAATAGGGCAGGCATGGATGCTTTGTTTAAAGTCTAAATTTGTGGTTCTGTGGTGGAACATACGAACATGCCAAATCATCCAATCATCCTAGTCTTTGCTTCAACAGCTCTAAAGGGTGGAGGCCACCACAATGAAGGACAAATCTTCTAACTATGGGCCAGGTGGGCAAGGCATCTTCTGCCCTTGATCAAACGCCAGGTCAACTTTTTGCTTGGCCTCCCTGAGAGCACAGCAGCCGATCACATGAGGTCTCAACAAAATGTCCAAGTCCTGAGCGGTCAAGCATGCTAGCTTCCCAGCGTTCTCCATTGATGTCCAGCCAAAACTGAGTACTTGTTGGGTTAGCTCACTTTGTGACTACCTACAAACATCTGAGATCATCTGCGGCTTGTGGGATGACCTAAACCGCTCGTGCCTTCAGCTCTTCCTCCGATGCCACGCTGCATGAGGAGGGCAAAGGCCTTGACAAATCGCAAGTCCGTAGATGCTGAAATCTGTCCAAAGGAAAGGCTGAAACTTTCTCACTAAAGTGAAGGGAACAAAACGATGCAACTATTTTTCTCGCTGTGTTCAGTATGCCTTGGCATATCTCATCCACACCCCCGGGTTGATCTTTCGACGTCAAAAAACATTTTTCAACCATAGGATTGAGTATTCCACAGTATTCCATAAAACGCAATCCCCAAGCAAACGACAATCAAAGGTACTGCGTGCTCCGTGCATTCTGTATTCTTCATTGCAGGCCATAAGTGCTTCAAGAATCTTGAACATACACTCAACTATACAGGTCCCGCAAAGCATTTCGCACGATGGAACAAAAAAAACTGGCTGAGAACATGAGTGCGCAGGCAACATCCGGAAAACTCCTTATCCAAGAAGCTGATTGCACACCTGACACTCACCACACTTGCACAGCTGGCACCACCACAGCACAGGATTGTCAGCCCTTACCTCCATGTATCCGCACGGGCATCTCATGATGGCTTCATCTGAAGCCAATGCCTCGGGCCAGGGAAACGTAACGATGCAATTGGGTGGTCTCGTTGATCACGATGTCGGCTCGCGAAGTCCGCACCGGCAAAAACACCTGTTGCTATCGCGGGGTTTCGTGTAAAGGGGCGCAGTCAACTGCAGCTCAAGGGCCCTAGTGGCCATGGAAAACCACAAATCTGACATGAAATCATGCGTGCATGAGCAGGCATTCAGACAGGGGAAGAGGTATTGGTCTTCTCGATCCCTTCCTGTGAAAGAAATTCAAAAAGATAGCTATGGCTCTGGCCCTTTTCTTCCATCGTTCTCGATTCAATCTCGACCTTCGTAGCAGCTGACGAATCTCCAGGCACCATCTAACATGGTGTGCACCATTTCATTGGTGGCGGGACTGTAACTCGTCCTTGTCTGCTGCTGGCGATCGCATCTCAGCCCTTCATGGAAACGAAGTCGTTCCAGCTGATGTGGATCTTCAGGGGGCGACATTCCGATCTGCTCCAGCCTTGCTTCCTGAAGCTGTCTTTCCCTATCTCTCGCATCCAAGTGCAGCTCCATCAGTAGGTTGAAGTGAGCGTTGAGGAATCGGTGCCATTGTCGAATCTCATTGTCGGTGGTGCGCCGGCAATCTGGCCTCAGCGTCAGCTTCAGGAACTCTTCACGGCATACTTCCGGTTGAACGTGCTGCAACACGTGGCCTCTCATGTGGGCAGTCACAGCTGGAGTCCATAGGATCTCATTTGTCCACCTCCACTTCGACTGACCTGGTTCTGCACGAACTTCTTCGTACAGGGTCATCCACCGTTCGGTGAGCTCGGGCCCGTCGTCACGCTCTTCAATCACATCCATACGATCATCGCCATCGTCCGCAGAGCTGCCGCCGTGGCTCGTTTCAGCAGCATTCACCGCCTCATTCGTTAGGTCGCCATGGCTCGTTTCTACTTCCATCGGGATGTCATTCTCAGGCATGCCCTCATTGTCAAACATGATGAACCAGTTCTGCAATCGCCTGATGAACACAAAGATCACATCCTCTACCATCCACGATGAGAAGATCAGCCCAAGCAATGCAAAGATGAAGATGACCAGGGCTGTGTTCGTGAGTGGATGATCACCTGGACGCTCTTCTTCCTTCGCCTCAGCCACCGTGCACTCGGATGCAAGCAACGCAACGGCACACCGTGCTGCCTTCTGCCACTCATCTCCTCCATGTCCTTGACGAAACCGGTGGAGGTAGAAGTGTCGTCGGCTGCAATACTTGTTGCCCCCAACGCTGGTGTCCTTCATCTTGTTGCAGCCAGGCAGTGTGCACAAGCCCTGCTCCTCCTTCAACTCAGCCTTGTCCATATAGTACACCTGGCCATCAAACCATCGAGGCATAGAACACCTTGGCCCACTCCAGTTCGTCTATGGCTATCGTTGCCAACTGTGCTTCTGCGGACAACGAGCTCCGGCGCATGCGCATAAGCTCCTTGCTCGACCAGTCAATCACCATCAACGGGAATGGAGCCTCTCCAGACATCCCACTTTGGTTGGCCAGGAACATCAACGTGCCACCCTGAGAACTGCCGTCGGGTCGGACCCGAGCAGCGTCGCAGTAGACTCCAAGGCGCAGGTCCTGCATCGCTCCGTGGCTGCGGATCGTGAACACACTTCCTTCATGAACCGTAGACATTTGTTGGCTTCCAACATGTCCTTCACGGTCGGCCGGTTGACGTTGGCCTGGAGGATGCTAATGGTCGCTGCAGCCTGAGGCAAGCGTTGGGTGACCGGCCAAGACATAGCACCAGCCAAAGCTCAAAGCAAACGATACTCCTTCTCTGTGCAGTAGTCGTCCTGCACTTCGAGGTCTGGTGACTGTTGGAGTTCAGCATCACAGAACCTCATCTTATCACCAAAGTCCCATGATGCGAAGCGGAACCTCTTGGAAAGGTGATGGGCTCTCTGTTGGAATGTCTCGCAGGCTCCAGCCGCATCAATTTGGATGTCCTTCAGGCTGTTGATCATCTCGCCTGCTCCAAGAAAATCATCCACATGCAGTCCAAGAGCGCCATCCACTGTCCAGAAACTTCCCTGCTTCTCGAAGACCAGGAACGGTGGGTCATCCTGTCCAGCTGGCCTCAAAGAGAGAGATATAGGCAGCGATCAAGAGGATGGTTGACTCGATGGCCGAGAGGTTCGTCCATGAGTCCAGCTTCAGCCGATGTCTTCCCGTAGACGATCTGAGTGGGTGAAATTCCATGAATAGATCGAAGCTGGTTCCTTGTCGAAAATGCCACAGGTACTGCTGTTTCGAGGCACAGATTCTCGTTCTCCTGCTTCATCTTCAAGAGTTGCAGTCAGACTGCGTGGAGGCGTTCCACTGTGCCCATCCTGTGGTGTGCTTCTTTTGGAACCAAGATGAGCTTGATCTCCCGATCGTCCATGTACTGGAGAAACTGCTCAGTCGTGTGTGCTCCTGATGCATCAGTCCGGATCTTCTTCGGACATCCAAATGCATTGATCCATTGGTCAAGGATATAGCTAGCTCCTCCTTCTCGGTTCCCGAGGGAACCACAGCGTTCATCTCATAGGTTGAGAAGATGTCAATGATGGCCAAGACTCGTATCTTCTCGCCATTCCACTTGATGTGGAACACGTCCATCTCGAGCAGCTCATTGAAGAAGCTGGTCTGTGGCAATGATGCAGGCTTCGCCATCTTCTTGTCCCGGAAGTTCTGGCAGGTGTCGCACTGATACTCTTTTGCACACTGAACCAGTGCATCATCAAGCCCTGCTTCTCGTACAGCTGCAACCAATCTATCCCTTCCAGGGTGTCGAGCTGCCTGTCGAGCTTCTCGATCACTTGCGTGGCCTTCTTGGAATGTGTCTTGACACTCTCATCTTTCAGGTCCACCTCCATCTCTAGGTCTTTGTTCTCCACTTCTTCGGTCACCATCACCTCCATTGCCATGATCTTGGCGATCTCTTTCCGCCTCCAGGTTTCGTCCATGCTGGTGTATATAGTTTTGGCTCGTCAGCCTTGCCAACAGGAAGGGCGTGTGGCCAGGAACAATTGATGCGGTGAAATCCACCTCATAGTTCAAGGTCAAAGTCTCTCCTCCACCAAACTTGAACTGCCTTTGGACTGGCGGGACTTGATGGGCTTGGTGCCTTCACCACCATATTTCTCGAGCCATTGATGCCAGTTGTTCTCACCGACAATGGTGCGAGTCGCTCCACTGTCAACGATGGCCTTCCCGACTTCCGCCGCGGCGAAGAAGCATGGTTCCACCTCATTGTCCATGATCTCCAATCAATCCGACCTTCTCCATGACATAGGTCTCCTCGACCATGGTGATCTCCTCTGGCACTTCCTTCACTCCCTGGTTTTGGCATCTGTAGCGCTTGAATCAAGGTCGATGTTGGGCCGTAGATCCAGAGAACGTGGACTTCTCACTGGATGCCGTGGTGGATTTGCCCTAGGCACCCTTCTCCGCCTCCTGACCAATCGCCACAATGGGGTAGAAGCCACGGGACAGCGCCAACTCCTTCATGCGCTTCCGACTCTCAACATATGACACGTAGGCTTCATCGGCGTGGTCCATGGCCTCCTCCAGTTCCTCTGGGATGTCGTCTTCGTCTTCTTCTGCTTCGAAGACCTCGTCCCATGCATCCCAATCTTCATCTTCGTACTACATCTCTTCCTCCTCCTGGTAGTAGTTCTCCTCCTTTGCATTCGAAGGAGAGGTGCGACCAAGGTCTCTGGCGTTGGGCCGATGGTCTCCGCCAAACATGCGGATCAAAGCTTTGCTCACCTTCTCATAGTCCATGTCCCCACCGCACATGGCCTTCAGCTGCACATGCGTCCAACGTAGTACTCCAGCTCTGGTGAGAAGGTGCCAGCCTGACAGGAGAGGGGGTACATCAACGTTCACCTCCCTCATTCTCTTCTGCAAAGTTCTGTGGCGGATGAGGTATGCCTGGAGCTCTTCCCCCTTGTTCCTTTGGAATTCACTGAAGAACTCATCACACCTTGATGGGACCTCAATGAGATCTTCGTACTGATAGAGGTCGTCGAGGAGGCGGAACACCAACTTGAAGGGGGCGTCCGAACGTTCCACTTCGTCAAAGCTCAACTGCTGTGTTGCGTCCCATGCCACATCTCGCAACTTGCTGATCACGAGGAATGCTCCTTCTATAGAAGTCTCACGACCTTGCTGAAACAACTCCAGCCTTCGTCGGTAGCTCCTGTATAGGTCTTCTGGGTCAGTCCTTCCGACGATGGGCAGGCTTTGGCAAGTCCAGAGTCTAGTCCACCTCGATGTTGGGGAGCGAACGGTAGTTGGAGGGCATTGTCAGCATCCCTCTCAACGTTGGCGAACAAGCCACCACCAGCAGCAGATGGCGCCGAGCCTTGTGCACCAGGGGCCGATGTCCTAGCCCTGCGAACTGGCGTTCGTCTTGGACTACCACGGTCCATCTCAGACGTAGGTGAAGATCTTACCTTCAGCCGGCAGGAGGAGAACGTAGGAGACTTCTGGGATGTAGGGTGCCGTGGAGGAACTCAGCCTGGAGCGTCGCCTGCTCCGCTACCAATCTCGTTGATCACGATGTCGGCTCGCGAAGTCCGCACCGGGAAAAACACCTGTTTCTATCGCGGGGTTTCGTGTAAAGGGGCGCAGTCAACTGCAGCTCAAGGGCCCTAGTGGCCATGGAAAACCACAATCTGACATGAAATCATGCGTGCATGAGCAGGCATTCAGAGGTGGAAGTAGTTTTATATACTAAAACCGATTTGTATGATCTACGAGTACAGCATTTATTCTGCAGCTGGATGTCCCCCTGTCAACGATTTGCCAGCATCAGCTTCTCTCAAGAACAGCAGAACCAATCACACTGTTCCACAGCACAACCAACATGATGTCGTTTGTGGTGTGGAAATGCTTAAAGAAAACCGAGAAGCTCGCTGTGCCACGAACTCGGCCAACAGTTTTTGCTGCTGCGGATTGAGTTGCCGCTCAAAGGAGGGGATGGGGATCTCTGCACGACACATTGAGCACTTTGGTGGATAGGATGCCTCCAAATCGTTCAGGATCGACTGAATAAAGACTCCAGTGCACTCGCTGCAAAGGAAATGCGAAGAAGGACAGCAAATACCTTCCCCAGAATCACCGCTCACTGTAAATTCACACTGGCACACTGCACACGTCTCCTCCTTCTCTTCGCCCTTTCCGCCCTTTTCATTGACCCCCTTTTCTTGCCCTTGTCTTACTCGTGTACTGGCCGCAGCAGCAGCAGCTGCTGCGGCCGCTTTCTTGCGTTGAAAAGTGGCGGCCACTGCGCGCCGGAAGGCCAATCGCTCTTGGTGGATTGCTTCCAAGCCTCTGGCAGCCACGTTGCTTGCATTGCCTGAGGTGAGCTTGCCCCACCATGTTTGAGTCTCGCTGTGTGCAAAGCAAGTGATTGCATGCTGCCGCCAGGCCGCTGCTTGGCAATCCTCGTCGCAGAACCAGGCCTTTTGACATCGAGAGCAACGCTTGGTTGATTCATTTCCACACCTTTCACAGATCCCTGTCTGCAAGCGCATCTTCTTCTCAAGGTGCGCCACCTCTGAGTCTGACTCGGCGTCCTGGGGCGAACAGCACTGTTTCATATCATGAAATCGAAGCAAATTGGACTATACTACAATACGAATCCTTCCTCATCCTCAAACATTTTCATCACAATCTTCATCCTCATCTCTCAGCTTGCCGTGAAATGGTGGAGGCACATGGCCTGGCAAAGGGGTGGGCTCGTCCTCGCCCGAAAGCTCAGCTGCTAATTTCTCCCACTTGCTGTAGTCAATGGTTCCAGGACGGGCCATTAAAGCAACTGGAAGACCCACAAGTCTTGAGCCAGAAACAATCCACTGGACTCAGTTTCACAGCCTTGAGTGGTCTTCACGGCCAAAGTTGGTACACGTTGATCTCTTCAACAAAACCTGAGGGTTCTTTCAAATGACTTGATATCTGCTCAATTAAGGAGTTTCGGTCAAATCTCGGATCCGCGATTCTGGGGCCCAAACTGAAAAAAACTCCATGCGCGGCAATGGCCCAGGTTTACCGCAAAGGAGGACGCAAACAGCGATGGAATCGGAGTGCTTACCAGTGAGGATATTTTTTTGGCGTCAGGTGTGGCGAAGGGCCTGAATGGAGACTTTATGATGTCTCAGGTCAAAGACCTTCGGCTGGTCCGGGCATCAGTTGAGCTACTCCGCTACGCACACCTTAATTTTCTGTTCTTGTGGTGCGCACCCTGTAAGAGTGACCACCAAAGGTCCGTCACAAGCCAAGTGATATTTGGGACCAAGTATTAGTCAGTCAGTCAGTCAGTGTGTGTTTCTCTCTCTCTCTCTCTTTCTCTCTCTCTCTCTCCCTCTGTCCCTTTCTGTGTCTAAACAGGAAACTTGTCGTCTCAAAACTTGAGTCCGGCTGCCCGGCCAGACGGCCGCCTTCGAGAAGGCTTGGTGTAAAACGCTGCTGCGCTGGGAAAGAACCTGAGTCGAAAGCCAAGCACTTTCGCGTCGGTGGCCTCTGTGGCTTCAGTGATGACACTGCGATGTTGTACCGACTTATTCTTTTCCTTAGGGTTTGTACGAGCCCCCGAAGTCTTTGCAACCAAAATCATACAGCGGAAACACATGGACAAATCAATTCGTTGAGGCATCCTGGCAGAGACTACCATGCGCAGCTCCACCTTGGCTGGCAATCGATGGGGTCGCTTTGTGATGTGAGACACTGTGGGACAACGTCTCAGCAGCAAATCGGTCCTGCAAGTGAATCAAAATCAATGAACCCCTTGCCGTGTCAACTAGAGTTCACCGAACATGAGAAACAGAAGTAGTCTGTGGCAGGTCAGTGGCAAGTGTCAAAAACAGAAACAACTTGTAAAGGCTTAAGTTAACTCAGATTTTCTAGTATAGTGAATTTCATGCAATGATGTGACGCGGGATGATTCGCCCCAGAACACAGTATCTGTACAAGTCTGTCAACAAAGACCAAACAAATCGTAAGAGGTCATCAGCTGCGACATTCGCGCTGAACACCCGCCGACCCGCTTGCCCCGACACCCTAAGTACCCAAGTACTCATATTATCATATTATCGTTCTATTTCCCAAGTCTTTAGTAACTGCAACTTTAAAACCCGGGATCAAACTTCGTTTGTTTGATTGGCCGTGGTCAGTACATGGGAGTACGCAGGATCCTGAAATAATTTAATACCTTGCTGTTCTCCATTGGTATGTAACACCAAAGTCACTAGAGGGCGTTGTTTTCTTGAGCCAAGTTTTTTCTCTGCTTGTTGCCACTTGGGTTCCCATTGCCTAACCATGGGTTCCCGCGACAACCCTGAAAGTGTGGAAGTGATGAACTGCTAAGACATCATTTTTTGCCCTTTTGGCGTTTCTTCTTACTTATGATTCCGGGAAAAATAGTGGACCAAACTCACACCAAATGTGGTAGGTTTGCTCCACAAGTGCTTCAAAATGGGCCAGCCTTCTCAAGACCAGATGAATCACGAATGAGCGCCCCGCAAAAACATATGCTGCCCTGTTAGTCAAACGACCTCCAACGATGTAGGGTGGTGGACCATGATGGTGTCGCCCACCTCGAGCCTTGGAATAGCACTGCGGACTAGGAGCATCTCCAAAGACAATGTTTGGAGGTCTAGAGCAGAAGGTCAAAAGATCTAGGCGCGTTAGAGGTCTGGAGGCCCAGAGGTCTTGAGACTCAGAGGTCTTAAGATCCAGAGATTCCGAGATCGAATGTAGAATTTGAGGTCTAGGAGATCTAGAGGTCTTGAGGTCGAAACAAATCTCGAGTTCTAGAGACCCATGTGTGTAAAAGTCAGAGTAGAGATCCAGAGGTGTAGAGGTCTTGAGACCCAGGTCTTGAGATCCAAAGTGATTTGGACGTCTGGAGGTCTGTGACGTGTGAAACCTAGAGATTGAGAATCTCTAGGCTCCCAGGTCTACTAGAGGTCGGGGTCTAAAGGTCTTAAGATCCAGGGAACTTTTGAGATCCAACAAGCTCTAAAGGTCTAGAGGCCTTGGATCTCAAGGTTTAGGCTTATATAGAGTTTGCGAGGGCTAGAAAGTTCTGAACAAGATCGTTGTCTAGAGGTGCAAAGATCTAGAGGTCTGTAAGGAAGCCTTAGATCTAGAAAAGTATTGAGATTGAGAAATCTAAAGGCCTTGAGAATTTTCAAGAGCGTTGGGCTAGAGGTCTAGGTGGCGTGAAATGTCTATGATCTTGAGGGTTGGCGGTCGAGCACGTTTGCTGCACCTGCAGCAATTTTGCTGCCCAGGAAGGATCCAACATGTCCACTTCTGATCTTTGCAGGTGAATCAGCAAGAGCACTCTCAGTAACTATAACTGCTCTGCAAAGAACGCGTCGTTCAAAGCCATCAGGAATTTAAGCGCCCGACAGGCTTCAAACATCACTGGAGATTGACTGGACAATGGCTCGCAATTCCCAACGTGGCTCATTTCCCAACTATGCTGATTTCACCTGCAGTGATGCCTGCAGCTACCCGTCGACAACTAGACTAGACATGTTTAAAATAAAATTCCACTACTCCTCTTCAGCTTCATTTGCGACCTCACGCCAAAAGACGCCTTCATCTAAGGCGTCAGGGCTGACGTACTTTAACGTTTTCCATAGGCCCATTTGCATCATGAAATGCACTGGCGCCCAGACTTGGCCGTGGCAGTTGCGTTGCCTGCTCGAAACGCCTTGAAAGTGAAAGCGCTGGCGCCTGGGATCTGAAGTAGAGAGAGCAAGTTCCGAAAGCGTTGCAAGAACTGGCTGGCTGTGAACTGGAACATAGGTTCTCCGGGCTGCGTGGTTGAGAGGCGGCCCCGCAACCTGTGGGAGGCGCAAGGCATCCGGCCGCCCACTTTGGCAAATGCATGGTCGTGCGCGCGTCTGTATACGCAGCGGGAAAATCCCGTCACATCTGAGCTCATGGAGTGTGTCACAAAGGTTGAAGAAGTTGAAGCAAGACATCTTGCGCCGTTAGTTTGACCTCCTTCAGGATTTGATGCGCGCTTGCTTGCTCTGCCTTCTTGAGGCCCTGCAGCGCCAAGGTGACCTCATCTGTACGCAATGCTGTTCGAAGCCGCTGATAAGATATATCTTGGCCGCGCCAGCCGCTGAGAACAAGGCAAAAAATTCTCTCTGCCACTACCACCTTGTAGCCCAACCGTACAACTGCAAACTGGCGCCAAGGCTTCAATCCAGAAGCAACAGACGGCCCGCTTGCTTGTTTGAGCGCAATCCAATGCGTCAGCCTTGTCCTGCAAAGCAAGTAACACCTCTGACGCGTCAGATCTATACAGTCCGCACGCTGTGCTGCAGGGTGCAGCATCTTGCGCAGCCAAGCCTTTTCGCTGGGCGCGAGCTTCCTGACACGCTGCTTGCAGGGCCGCTTGCAACAAGCGCCTGATGTCACCTGCAGAAAAGCGCGCCGCCCAAGTGCTGCGGGCGCCAAAAACTGTGGAGCGCCAGATTGTTGGCTTGTCAGACTTGCCAACTGACGCCAGCCACCTGTCAACTGATGTCGGAAGCTGCCAAGCCACCCAAGTCACCAAGGTTTCGCAGAAGCTGGTGGCGGAGCCTGCCACTTCTTCAGCAAGATTTCCTCGCGCAGGCGCCAAGCATCGCGTAGTCCTACCCATATGTCACGCGTGGTGAGCAGAACTGCGACTCCAGAGGTGAAGACATCTTCTTTGTCAAGCTTCAAGGCTTCGGCAGCCCGCATCAACGCCTTGTCATTTCCAATGTTGTAGCGCCTGAAAAAACCCACTGGGAAGATTGCAAGTATGTCGATTTGGATGAAAGGCTCTCGCGCGCCGTGCTCTGAGGTCTCACATCTTGGGCCATAGCCGCGCCTGCACCAAGGCCAAGTGATGTTTGGACGTGCGCAGTGAGAAGTCTACGCCTAGCGCCAAAGAAGTCATCAACATAGCGGGCGCGCGGAAAAGCTTGAGGGCAAAAGTGTGGAGAGTGTGGCCTACCCTGTGCCAGGCGTGTGCTTCAGACAATCCCGACAGGCATTCCTCTGTGCTGGGCAGTCCACAACGGACCCTGGCCAGCCCAGACAGCCCGTGAGAATTCTAAATGCTCGGACCGGACTGGGACCCGGCGAAACGCTTTCGGCTTGTCACCTTTCCACACGCAAACGTTTCTGCCATGGTCAACAAAATTTAACAATTGCAGCCGGCGTGTCCAACGTGTCATGTTGGATTCTATTGCGCGGCGCTGGCGCAGTGGCCAAGTTCACTCTACTCTCCGACTCATGGTCAACAACCCTAGTTCTCCAGCCTTTAGCCCGCCACTCTCTGACCGGCGCGCCTCGACAAAGAAACGTCTTGAAGATCAGCGGGCAACAACAACTGAGGTGCGGTCATGGCTCCTAAAAGGGAATCTTCCATTACTTGATATTACTTGGGAGCACTGCAGAAAGCGGCAACTCTCTTACTGCAGCAACGACCTGTCTAGCCACTTCAACTCGACCGTCTTGCAGTTCCTGCGCTGTCACTCCTGCCTTGAATACGTCTGTCTTGCTACTGCCTTCGCGCGGAGGCAACTCGCCCAGCAGAGGAAAGCCAAACTGGAGGTCGCGCAAGAACCCCTTAGCCTTAGCTGTCACGCCAGCCATCGCCAGCAAAGACTGCCGCAAAGGACCATGGATGCTGCTAGTTAGAAGCTGTAGCTCAGGATTAATAGCTTGCAAATCAGAATTCAAAGCTTGCAGAGAGCCAGCGCGGTGCTTTGCAGGCAAAGCAAAACTGACATGTTGCAACGGATCGAGCCCAACTGGGGCGCCCAAGCCATGAGGGACCTGGCAGGTCTCTATTTTCAAGCGGTGAATGCGACGCGCTGGTCTTGGCAAAGTTGCTCACACCAGAAGGCTCATTGGCCAAAGGCTGCTGCCAGTGACGAGATTGCGCTCCGGGCGCCAGTCAGCGTGTGGCGTGATCTTGCTGGTACTTCTGTTTGCGCAGCGCATCCCTTCTGTCACGGTTCAACCACCAGTTGCGTGTTTTGACAGCACGTTTGGACATCGATGGGTCTGTGAGCTGTTTGGCATCTTGATCGTTGCCACTCTGACTTTCCTTGAACACCATCTGCTGCGTCTCAAGCAATTTTTTGTGACTCGGTCAGTCTGCTCTTGAGCTGCTTCAGCAGCTGCACGCTGGCAAGGCACCAACTTGTCCCCTCATCTTGGCTGGATGCGCTCGGCTGACGCGGAGGGTTCATGCCTGCGTTTCGCAATGGCCAGCAAACCTTTGTCAATCTTGTGGGCCTTTGCCTGGATGTCCAGGCTTGCGTCATTCTTTTGTACACGTCGTGCCCAATTCTACCAGAGAAGCTCTTCGTACAGAAAGGCCACGAATGGCCGGTTGCCCTTATTTTGCTCTTGCTCTGCAAGCTAAAGCACACTGTCCACATGCGCTAAAACACTTGGCCACGTCAACTGGCCAGTTGCTACTGCCACTACAGCATACCGAATGAAAGCTCCATTCCGCTGCGAAACCGTTCTGAAGGACCGGGTGAAGCAGTTGCACCTTTCCCAAGTCTTGCAAGGAGGAGATGGGCGCCTGACCAGTCGCCATCATCATGCACCTGAAATTTTCCGTGGCCGCGCCACTGAACCAACTCTGTGGCTGGGCTCGTGGCTGGGCCTTGTCCTCCTCTGTGGCTGGGCTCTGTGGCGTCCTCCTTTTGGCCGCGCCCCTGAACTCTGTCAACTCTGTGGCAAGAGGAGGACAAGGCCTGGACACAGAGCCCAGCCACAGAGTTGACAGAGTTCAGGGGCGCGGCCAAGAGGAGGACAAGAGGAGGACAAGGCCTGGACACAGAGCCCAGCCACAGAGTTGACAGAGTTCACAAGCGGCCAAGAGGAGGACAAGGCTCAGCCACAGAGCCCAGCCACAGAGTTGAGAGAATTCAGGGGCGCGGTCAAGAGGAGGACAAGAGGAGGAAAAGGCCCAGCCACAGAGCCCAGCCACAGAGTTGAGAGAGCTCAGGGGCGCGGTCAAGAAGAGGACAAGAGGGTTGACAGGGCCCAGGAACGCAGCCAAGAGGAGGACAAGAGGAGGACGAGGCCCAGCCACAGAGCCCAGCCACAGAGTTGACAGTGTTCAGCACCGCGGCCAAGAGGAGGACAAGGCCCAGCCACAGAGCGCAGCCACAGAGTTGACAGAGTTCAGGGGCGCGGCCAAGAGGAGGACAAGAGGAGGACAAGGCCCAGCCACAGAGCCCAGGCCGCGCCCTGAACTCTGTGGCTGGGCTCTGTGGCTGGGCC